ATATCAACACCTTACAGATTTGCTGGAATTGCTTTGGAGAAGGCAGCTTGAACATACCTTTCTTACCTTGGGTTCTAAGAAAGTTCAGTGAACTGGGAGAAATATATTTATTCCATATTCCAAATAAATGGCCTTCAATGTGAGAGGAGCTGGTATTTACTTACAGTGGAAAAGTTGCTAAGAGTTGCAACACTCTTTACTTCCCAAACTGTTTTCCTCATATTCTGTCACGCTATGAAATTGCATTCCTGGAATTTCGTTACCTTCAGTTTGAAGTAATCAGAACAATGCTGTCATTTTCTATATTGTTCCTTTGATTTGGTTTTTCTCTTTCTAAAACCTTACCCATCAGGACGCTGTACTCTCTCTCCCAATTCTTTCCATGGTGACAGTTGCTTGTCCTGGTTTCTGCGAGGTAATCCAGATGTTCCCACTTTGCTCTGGCTCCACAGGAATGTGCTTGTGTTTGCCCTTTTAACACTTCATATGAAAATCTGGTCCTCGGAGATATTGTATGATATTCACAAACATTTTCATAATCAGAGACTGCTTTGTTCTTGAAAGATAGTGTGTTGCACAGAGCTAATACTCAAAATGAAAAATGGCGTGAAACCTAATAATGGCTTTTGGAATCCCTTATAGGTGATGACAGATCGAAATGAAAATGTGGATTGAAAAAGAATAATCTGTGTTTCAAGTTATTTATATTTTGAAATACACATAGCTTACTTCAGAGTTAAATATCTGTTTTTTTCTTTATGATATTGGAGATTTGAGATATGCTTTCTTATTACCAATGGGTTTTACTTATTTTTCGGCTGCCTGAAATTAAAAAAATAAACTTCAATAATATAGACCAATTTTGCTTTTTCTCCATATGTTATTCTTCAGAAAACTTGTTCTTGTAATTAGAAGTTTAAAGTCTTTTTACTTTAAAATGATTTTAGAGTTAAAAACATTTTTAAAGATTCTGTGGAAACTATCTCCTAGTTTGCAGTCCCACTCCACAGATGTTACTACCTTACATAACCGGGAGAAAACCATTGAAACCAGGGTGTAAGCGCTGAGACAATCCTGCTATCTAATCCGTTGAGTTATTCGAGTGCTCATGGTTGTCTCATACAGACCCTTTCTCTGAATCTGGGAATGTATGATTGCAGACCTTCAACTCAGTCTTCTCCCATTTAGCATTGCATTTGTATTTCCTAATGGTTAATGGCATAGATATTTCAAAAGAGAGCTAGCTAATTATATTTTGCAGAACTTCAATGTGAGTAATAGTTACATCCTTTAGGAAGCATATTTAGTTTTAAGAATATTTGTGAGTAATGTTTGGGTGGAAAATACTTTTTCCAAATGCTTTCCTAAATTAAAGCATTGCTTTCAATGTGGTAAGAAAGCAAATTTAGAATTTCACTAAAAAGGAAGAAAAATATGTTGTTTTTCTTCTTTGCAGGTGTTTTTCCTGTATTATTCTTTTAGGAAGATTTATAATGAGATTATATTTCAGAGTTCTATAAGCCTTTGTGGACATGAGGGGACCTCTCTAGTCAAAAAATACATATATATTTTTAGGATATGAAGGTGTTTTTTTTTTCTGAAACCACACACATATTTTCTCCCTTAGTAATTGGTAGACAGGTTGTTTGAGACAAGTAGAAATGCTGACATTTAATTGCTCACAGTTGTTAATCATTTAATCTAGATGAAATAGCCCAACCTTGCTTGCTGCACTCCTTCTGTAACAGCAGAAAAACCACATTAAAAATAATAAAACTGAATGTTAAATAAGTTTAATGTATTTATCTTCCTCCTCTACTTTTCCTGTAGGAAAATTCGTGAGCCTGACTTTTCACTAGTTATTTCACTTATTTTGGCCCTTTCCTGTAGTGACCAATTTTCCTTGACTTTGGAGAGTCTAATTTCTTTCCTCATTACCTCAGTGGCATTGCTTCCCTAAAGGTGTGTACCTGGATTTCTGTGAGTCAATTCTGCTACCTCTGTGCGTAATTCACAACTGTGGTCATTCTTGTTCTCTTGAAACTGCAATCTCCCTGTGTTATCTGAAACACATTCGTGATTCCGCTGTTGGTTTCTTGAATGTCTCTCGTCATTTTCATCATTCCATGCACATGGTCCTAAAACTTCTGTTACCACTTTTATGGAGGTAACCAAGTCTTCGGGTCAGATTTGGACTTCCATTGTAAATGTTTGTTCTGGATTTCTCATAAGAATTTCCAAATTAGTTGTCAACGATTCCTTATAATACAAATGCTTTATTTATATAAAGATAAAAGAATCCATGTGTTGTATAGGTCCAGTTAAAAAAAATCTGTATTTGTCTTCCACTCTTTTCTTTGTCCCTCAGTACCCTTCCTTCTTTCCCTAATTCCTTCCTTCCTTTTTTTTTAATTTTGCAAAGATATAATGTAATCTACAATCGCAGGGTTCGTTCTCTTACTGAATTATTATATTTGGCAAGTAATACTGTAGAAAGTCCACAGTTAAATATAAACTTCTTATTTCTCTTCCTTCCCCTGTCTGAGTAGGAATAAGGTGAGATGTTATCATAAGCCTTTCCCATTCTACATTATTTTCTGCCCCAATGCCAACTCGTTCTCTTACTGTTTTTTCCACCTCTTTGTCACTCCAAGTCTGGTCGTGGTGACTTTACATTAGGATGGAGCACAATTTCCAATTCAGGTAAACCCCCCTACTAATAAAGCAGGAAAAGATGGTCATGTTTGCCATGAATATCATTGTGTCACATTGTATCCTTTACTGCAGATATGTTTACATTTTTTTCTCTGTTGGGTGTAAATCCTTCAAGTGCTGTCTGTGTTCTTTATAAGCTCCGTATTACCTCATTTTTGTCCTGAGCTGTGAATCAATGTGAAACAAAACACACTTGGTTTATTATTATCATGTTCTGTTTATTTGGTAAACCTAGAAAAGTGCTTACTCCTTGAAGTGATGATAATATGATACTCTATGATATGGAAATCATTAACATATTTTTCCATGAATTCACAGATCAATCTGTTTGTTCTTCATTCCATGATAAAACATTAGCAATAAACCTAGAGTAAGATAATGCACTCCTGAATTAAATAGATCAATAAATTGGATGGCTAAGTACATTGTTGTCTCAAACAATATGTGTGAATGCAGAAAAGAAAAGCACATGCCATAAGGTACTTTCAAAAGTTCACTGAGGCCCTGGTACAGTAGCCTAGTGAATGAAGTCCTCTCCTTGCTTGCGCCAGGATCCCACATGGATGTTGGTTCGTATCCCGGCTGCTCCACTTCCTTTTCAGTTCCCTGCTGGTGGCCTGGGAAAGCAATAAAGGATGACACAAAGCCTGTGGACCCTACACCCATGTGGGAACCGCAGAAGAAGCTCCTGGCTCCATGGAAGAAGCTAGCTACGATTGTGGCCACTTGACGTGTGAGCCAAAGAGGGAAGATCTTTCTCTCCATATGTCCTTCTCTGTGTAAATCTTTCCAATAATAATAAACTTAAATAAGTTCATTGAATATAAAATTGTTTGTGTATATGCAAAAATTGAAATCCATACTTCTTTTCAAAAATATATATATATTTTAAAGATTTATTTGTTTATTGGAAAGTCAGACATACAGAGAGGAGGAGAGACAGAGAGGAAGATCTTCCGTCCAATGATTCACTCCCCAAGTGAGCACAACAGCTGATGCTATGCTGATCCAAAGCCAGGATCCAGGAACTTCTTCCGGGTATCCCACACGGGTGCAGGGTCCCAAAGCTTTGGGCCGTCCTCGACTGCTTTCCCAGGCCACAAGCAGAGAGCTGGATGGAAAGTGGAGCTGCTGAAATTAGAACCGGCACCCATGTGGGATCCAGGCACGTTCAAGATGAGGACATTAGCCGCTAGGCCACTCCGCCAGGCCCCCCAAAAGATTTATTTTGATTTTTTATTAGAAAGTCAGATTTACACAGAGAAGGAGTGACATGAAGAAAAATCTTCCATCTGTTGGTTCACACCCCAAGTAGCTACACTGGGCTGAGCTGAGCCATTCCAAAACCAGGAGCCAGGAGACTCTTCCAGGTCTCCTATGCAGGTTCATTCTCTACTGCTTTCCCCAGTCACAAGCAAGGAGCTGGACATGAAGTGAAGTAAGACATGAACCAGCACCCATATGGGATCCATCAGTTTATAAGGTGAAGATTATCCACTAGACTACCGTGTCAAGCACTAAACATATTTTTCATAGAAGAATTTTTTTTTTGGTAAATAAACTTTTTAAAATTACACGTAGCAGGCTCACAGTGACCCAATTGCATTTTCTGCTCCTTTCAAGTGCAAGGATCTCATATAAGCACTGGTCATGGCCCAGCTGCCCCACTTTCCTTGCAACATACTATTTGTGGCCTGGGATAACAGTAGAGAATGGCCCAAAGCTTTGGGACTCTGCCTCCACACGGGAGATCTGCAAGAAGCTACTGAATTTGGGGATTGGATTGGCTCTGCTGGGGCCGTTGTGGACAATGGGGAGAGAAGCAGTAGATGGAAGAGCTTTCTCTCTGTAAATTATACTTTCCAATCAAAATAAATAAATTTAAAATTATTGCATTTTTCAACTTTTTGAAATACCCTGCCGTTTGAATTCATTGCTGCATTCGTTATTGATCTGCCAATGAAAGAAATGTTCTGACATTTTAATTCTGTGACTTAATGCTCTTTTTTTTATTTGATCTAATTAGGAGCTGCTCTGCATTTTGAATAAGTGCTAGAAACTAAAAGAAAATCAGAAATAAAAATCCACAGATGTTAGTTGTTTGGACAAAATAATAAAGCAGATTTAACACTTTTCATAGGCGAATACACACATTTTAATGATTTGAATGCACTCGTCAAATATCAAGCAAAGACGATTTACTATGTTTAAATATCTAGATGGCAGATTGAAAAATGTATGTGTATGAGTAAGTGCAACAACTAAAATCTATAACTGCTTTTTAGGAGCTGTCTCTGAGATGATAAATGTCTGAAGATCAAGATCTGAGCAAAGAAAATGAAGGACATGCTATGGTAAGTGACTCATGAATAGACCCGTGTGAACCTAGCGATTATTCACAAGTTGCTTCTGCATAAAGTGCACCCACAACGGTAACTGTCCCGCAGACTGCTTGGTAGCTCTATCCTGGGGCATAACATCCAAATATTTCTTGACTGGTGAAATGTCAAATAGTGTTCATTGGTCCCACTTAGGACCATTCTTCTAGACTGGAAGTCCTTGGTTTGGAACCAAAAGGTAAGTTTTCTATGAAATAATTGGCAGCTTATATGAGAACATGCACAATACGTATGGTATGTATATTAATTTTTACCTGGAGATTATGGAAATTTTTTTCAAAAAAAATTGTAGCACTTGATTTAGATAACAGTTTAACAATTTTTGGACAAATGTGGTTAAAACAAATATTGGTCTAATTTTAATATATTAATTTTCATCATTATCTCAGTTATTTCTCTGTAAAATTGTGCTTTGTGATTCTCTTTAAAGTGTTAGTGTCGCTCAGAGGAATAAAAATGCATGAAAGAAATTTGTCCACACTTTACCTTTGTCATTCTCTACAAGGTCAAATGAATTTTGTCCATAATTCTTGCCAATAAAGAATATTAACACTCAATTAATGTTGGTTCATAAACACTTTGAAAACTCTTAGAGTTCTAGTTATTGCGTGACTAAATTTGTATTTTGAAAAGGTATCTATAAAAGTATTTGTAAAAGTTCATAGCAAATGAAGTTAAAAGATAAGAAAAATTTGCGAATTTTTTTTCAAAATTATTTGAGTCACAAATAAACTCATCTTCCGCTTTCATTGTTCCATAGAAATAACCTCTCATTTTTAAAGTTTTCTGTTATGTCATCTCCCCCACATGGATACTTCTCTCTTATCCACAGGCTTTTTTTATTTGGGTTGCTGTTGTTTCTTTACTTTGGCTCACAGTTATAAGCAGAAAAACAAAACAAAACAAAACAAAAACAATGGTGACCTAGTTTTTTTTTCTTTACTTTGCTGGTCAGTCTGGAAATTATTTGTTCTTCCTTGTGCGTAGTATCTGTGTCCCCACCATTAAGCCATAGCTTGTGCCCTGCCCCCTCCATGAATATATTTATTTTTTGGTATTTCAGCAACATATTTTATTTTGCTGAACTCTATCAACAAAATGTTCTCTGTCAGCCCATATCTGTATGAACAGATATTTAATTTTATTGTTTCCATTAAGTAAGACTGTTATGAAGACACAGTTCAGATATTTTGGTAATTCTTTGGTAAAGAGAGGGTGAACATTATTCTGGTTTCTCAGATTTAGGGACCGAGTTATTATGCAGGAGGCAGAACAAACAATTTCCAGACTTTCCAAGGAAGTTTCCAGTACCACACGATGTGACCAGATGTTCAGGTGACAGTCTCTTCCGTAAAAGATATCTGAAGCTGTTTAGTTTTACAATAGCACTGGAAGTATTTTGTGGTAAGTTTTCTTCTCTGAGGGAATCTCTTTTCCAGAGGTCAAAGGGGAAACATACTAAGTTCAAGGTAGAAGGCCAAAAGTTCTTTCAAGTCATTATCCCTCGGCCAGATGCTTTCTATTCTCCCAGCTGCAAAATGTCTTTTACACAGGGTTCTTTTTAGTGCCAAAGGGCATTAACACATAAGGGTAATGTGTTGCTGCTGCATGGCGAACTGCTCATGATTCGTTTTTCCTTTAAATCTCAAAGGAATCCTTTGCATAACTATCCATCCCGGTATCTAGGACTTGCTTCTGAAATGGCCAGTTAATGTCTATTGCACATAAACGTTTGGCTAGACTAACTGAAATTTAAGTTTGTTAAACTTTTATATACTTAATTTTGGTCCAGAGGGTATTTGAAACTCAGCCATATTGGCTAGAGATATATTTTCATACCTAACTTCTACCTGCCATACATCATGCAAAATGTAAGATATGTAACTGGATACAGTACCATTTCCAAGCCCGTGGTATCTTGTGTCTGTTAGAAAATAGAAAGCAAATATATACTATTGCCTTGATTTAATAGTGTAGATGAAACTTGAGTTTATCACAAAGTAAATAGCAGTGGTAACAAGTAAAGACGTAAATCCCTATTTACATGAAAAAATATATGCATGAATTGTGAAACTCTAGATTGAGAAGAGATAAGGTAGTGTAGAATAGTTACCTGACTTACAGATCGTAATTTATGGCATAGTAGCCATTTTTAAAGACTTGAAAGAGCTGTAGGGTTTTATTTTCTAATTTATGTATTTATTTGAAAAACACCCACATAGAGGATGAGATCTCCCTAAAAGCTTAAAGAGTTGAGACTGGACTAGGCAGAAGCCAGGAGCCAAGAACTCAATCTAAATCTCCCATGAGCATGACAGGGACTTAATTATTTCAGCCATTACCTGTTGCTTCCAAAAGTGCCCATTAACAGAAAGTAAGAAGCTGGAATGAAAAGCAGAGCTGAGATTCAAACTGCAGCTTTGATATGGCCTGAGTATCCCACATGATCATCTAATGGCTCTAGTTCCTTTCCTAGGGTAGTAAATTCTGAAGTAATAAGTATTCTGTAATGTATTTTTGGAACATATTTGTATTTTGTATGTATTTTGTACATACCATAGAAGAACAGTACAGCAAGTATACATTTGTTCATGCAATGAAAACTTCTTTAAAAATGTATCAGATGTTCAAGAAAGGAAAGAAAGAATTTTTATTTTATGTTTTATGTGTTTCTGTACTACTTGCACAGCATACAGTAACTTCAAGACTGCATTACTTTTAAAAATAACCCACTGCATTCATTGAACAAATATTTAAGTATTTCCCTTGTGTGGCCTGCTAGATGGTGGCATCTTCCTAGGTGCTATTTCTGGGAAGTCTTAAACATCTTAATTGAGAGAAATAATGACCTAATATTACATTAGATTATGTTTTTACATAGAACTCTATTCTCATGTGAATCTATGCTATATTTTTCTCTGCCTAATTCATAATGATTAGGTTACATTATTTTCCTCTCCACCAATAGTTAGCATTCTGAAAGACAGTATTTCCCAACTTTATCTTGTCAGTTCACCATTATTTTACCTTAGAAGCTTCATTTATAAATTCATAAACCTGGAAAAGTCTGATTTTTTAAGAAAAAAAAAGTCATTGGAGAAAATCTTTGCACGCTGCATAACCAATAGGGGACTAAAATCAAGCATTTCCACAGAGCTTTAGAAACTCAGTAACAGCAAAACAAACAACCCTGTCAAGAAATGGGTGAAAGAAATAAACAGACATTTTTCAAAAGAAAAAATTCAAATAAGTAATAGACATATGAAAAAAAAAATGCTCAGCCGCCCTAGCTGTCATGGAAATAAAAAGAAAAACCACATTGGCATTCCCCTAACTCCAGTGAGACTGGCTTAAATTTAGAACTCTACCCTAACAACACCTGCTAGCAAGGATGTGGAGAGTAAAGTGCCCTCCTATGGTGTTGGTGGGAATATAGGCTAGTACAACCACTATGGAAGTCAGCACAGAGAGTGCTAAGAGAACTGAAAATTGACCCATCGTATGACCCTGCTATTCCACACTCAGGAATATATCCAAAGAAAACAAAATCTGTGTATGGGAAAGGGATTTCTATTCCTATAATCACAACAGCACAATCTATAATAACAAAGACATGGAAAGAACCCAGATGCCTGTCAAAAGAGGAGTGGATAAAGAATCTGTGGTACTTCTACTCCATGGGATACTACTGAGCCACTAAAATGAATACAGTTTTATCATCTTCAACCAAATGTCCCCAACTAGAGATGATTATGTTCAGTAAAACAAGTCAATACCTAGATGGCAAACATACGTTCTCTCTGATATAAAGCAACTGTCATGCAACATATGAGATTTACAACTCTTTCAATATTATTTTTCTACATCTCAGGGTGTTTGATATTTTTGTTTTTATTTTCATTCACTCAGAAGGATATTTTAATCAATACTTCTCCTTGTGGCAAGTTAAGTGTTTAAATAGTAATAATGAGATTGATGATAATGATGATAAGAGTGAACTAGTAGCTCGTTGTGATGCTTTCAGATGTACTCTTTGCATTTTAAAATAGTAACAGAGCATAAACAAAAGTGGAAAATCATAATCTTGAATCTTGGTTTAATTATTTCTATATAGGTTTTAAACAATCACCAACAAAAGAATATAAATAACATTAACACTGATCTACGAGAAATTTGCCTTTGCTTAGGAAAGGGTAGTGATTGCTTTAGTTTAATTCCTGTCATCAAATCAGTTTAGAGAGAAAAGAGAAAGGGATGAACAAAGGAAGAGTGAATGAGAGAAAATGACAAGGAGAAAGAAGGATAGGCAAAAAGGAAGGGGATATTATTCAGTTGTTGGTATTGCATCTATGAACTATCTAATTCTATTGAAAACTAATGGTAAATTTAAAGATATATGTGGTTTAAAAAGAACAAGGAGAAGATATAAATCAGTTTAGAGATAAGTGATCCTGGACGGCTACAGACATACTGAAATGGTAATGTGGTTGAAGGAGATGGAGAGAGGGAAAAAGAAACAGAGATGGAAATAATAAGAATAAAAGGAAAGGATAGAAAAGGAGAAGAGGCAAGAAAGAAAGGCTGAGAGGAAGAAAGGGACGAGAGGAAAGAAAGCAGGAGGCAAAGAAGGAGGGTGGAACCGACAGAATGAAGGCTAGAGGCATGGGGAATGAAAGTGGCAATGGAAAAAAAGGTGAATGGAAAAAATTAAGTAAAATCAGAGATCATTTACATTTCCAATTCAATGCCTCTCTGTATATTCTACAAATTAGACACTAAATACTAAGTTTCAGAAACCTAGTCAATTATCCATGTACAATTCACCCTAAATTATTATAATTGGGCTATCAGACTAGTGTTTTATGTAGGACCTTTCTGAATCAGCCACCCTGATGAAATAGCAGTTTTGATCGAAAAGTGGAACTGACAAAGAAGCTTGCTTCGGAAAACACACA